AGAATCCTTTGAGTCACAGAGTTTTAGAGATAATGAGGACTGCAGATTTTGTAGGCAAGTAATCTTAGGTCCAAGAGAAATTAAATAACTTACCTCAGGTCACAGAACAAGCCAGAGGCAGGCTCAGATTTGGGTTCAAGTTTGAGCCCTGCCACTAACGAGCTGTGTGTCCTTGAGCAAGACACACATCTTCTCCAAGCCTCCCTTTCTTCATCTGTAAAATTCTATTATTTTAGACCCCGGCCTTCTGACTCCAACCTACCTCTCAGGGTGACAACTCACAGCCTTACGGCCCTACTTCACACTGAATTATTTAATGGACAGGCCCAGTATATATGGTAATCCCTGTGGACGTCAGAAAAGGACACTTGCAAAGGCGGTTAAGGTGGCTAGTGGCAGAAGCAGGAGAGCATGTGGGAAACCCAAGATAGCTAAGTAGTACTTTGGACCTAAATTTCATTCTCTTTCGAATAAGAGACTTTCAGAAATTGAACTCTAAAACCATGTGGTTTCCAATCTTGCCAGAAGCTCTGCCTGGAAGTGAAGTGTGGAATGACTACAGATGTTCCCACCTGTATAGACTGGGATCGGTCCATTTGCCAAGACCAGGCCTCTCTGACTAGCTGATTAGAAGATTCTAGCAGTGTCATAGGAGGGACCAGTTCCTGGAGAAGGACATCATGCTTGATAGAGGACCAGCGAAAAAGAGGAAGACCCTCAACGAGATGGCTCGACACAGTGGCCGCAATAATGGGCTCCAACGTAATGATTGTGAGGAAGGGGTAGGTCTGGGGAGTGGGTGGTGTTCTGTTGTACATAGGGTTGCTATGAGTAGGAATGACTCAACGGCACCTAACAATACCAACAAGAAGCAGTGTCATGAACCTACAGAGGAAGTCACTGTCCCGGATTGAGTGAGTACTTATTTTTCCACATAAAAGCTTGAGAAATTTTCCACTCTGTGAAGGGGTGGGTATGACACCGTTTAGTGGGAAATCATCCCTTTCTCTTCTTTGGCCTGGGTGGGATTTATCGTACGTGCTCACCGCCACCTAGTGGTGTTTAAATGAATACCCATGGCTCGGAGCCGTGGTGGCGCGGTGGTTAAGAGCTCGGCTGCTAACCAAAATGTCAGCAGTTTGAATCCAACAGCCACTCGCTGGAAACCCTATGGGGAAGTTCCACTCTGTCCTATAGGGTCGCTGTGAGTCGGAATCAACTCGATATCAGTGGGTTTGGTTTGGTTTAAGAAGGGCAGAGGAGCCCTGGTGGCTCAGTGGTTAAGAGCCACTGCTGCTAAACAAAAGGTCTCCAGTTTGAATCCACCGGCTGCTCCTTGGAAACCCTACAGAGCAGTTCTCTGCCCTACAGGGGCGCTGTGAGTCAGCATCAACTCGACAGCAATGGGTTTGGTTTTGGTTAGGAAGGGCAGCACTCCAGTTATCCACTCCCTAATTAATGATTTATTTCACTAGTTGGCATTCCAGGTCATTTGCTATTTGCATATTTATTTATTTCAATGGTCTTTTTACTTTAGAACAGTGTTAGATTTACAGAAAGGGTACAAAGAGAGTACAGAAGTTCCCGTATGCTCCTTACCCAGCTTCCCTTATTGTTGTTATCTTAGGTTATCAGGGTATACTGTCACCTATAAGAAACCAAAGTTGACATATTATTATTATCTAACTCCAGACTATATTCGGATTTCACTTTCCCACTAGTATCCTTCATCTGTTCCAAGATTCCTTCCAGGAAATCCCACTGCATTTAGTTGTCATGTCTCCCTAGGCTCCTCTGGGCTAGTTCTCTGTCTTCCCTTGTTTTTGATGATCTCGACAGCTTTGAGGAGTGCTGGTCAAGTGTTTTGTAGACTGTCTCTCCCTTTAGTTTTGTCTGGTGTTTTTGTCATGACTAGATGAGGGTTATGGGGTTGGGGGAACTATACAGAGGAGAAGTGCCTGTCTCAGCACGTCTCAGGGTCGCACACTATTAACATGACCTATCAGTCATGTTAACCTTGATCACCTGGCCAAGGTAGTCCTTGCCATGTTTTTCCACTGAAAAGTTTCCATTTTCCCCATTCCATACTCTGTTCTTTGGAAAAAAGGCACTAAGTGCAGCCTACACTTACAGGGGGATTACCTACAGAAATTATTTAGAATTTCTAAAGAAAGTCCAAGGAAGATTAGCCTCTTCTTCCACTTTTATTTATTCTATCATTTATTTATATCAATATCAACTCGTGGGTATTCATTTTATACTTTGGGTTATAACCCAATTATCTTTGGCCATTGTGAGCCCCTTCAGGCCAGCTCCTGTGTCCCTTTGACATGCCTCCATTCTTTTTTTTTTGAGTGCTTCCTTTGCATATTTATTTTTCACTTAAAAAATAACATTTAGGGAACTAAACAAAACTAAATTACTCTTAAAATCCCATCACCTCTCACTGAAAACACAATATTATTAAAACAAAAAAAATCCTATCACCTCAACTCAACCAGTTAGCACTGTGTCCTCATTTGTTTTAGAAACGTAGCTATTTAAAGAATATACAAATTTTTCTTTTATTACTTCACATGATTTCATAAACATAACTGCCACTTTTTACAATTACTTAGTGTTTGCCAGACACATGTCAGAACACCTTTAAGAAAAGCTCTCTATAGTCAGACTATCTGCCCGTGTCCCTGAATCTTTCTGAGCCTCAAGTTCCTTATCTGTGAAACGGGGGAAGTGATAGCATGTTTCTCACGTTTCTGCGTGGATTAAATGAGGCAGCAGAGACTAGAGATTAAGAGCAAGGACTCTGGAAACAGATGATCTGAGTACAAATCCTGGCTTGCCCCTTGTTAGTTGTGAAACCCTGGGCGAGTTACTTAACTCCTCTGTGCCTCAGTTTCCTCGTCTGTGGAATGGAGAAAATAAAAGGATTTACCTCTCAGTATTGGAGGAGCAAATGAGTTTAATGGTGCTCAGCGCCTGGTCCATGGCAAGCCTTCAATGTCAGAGATTATTGACTCTGGAAAGACCTCCAGGGCAGAGACAATAATTTAAACTTAACTATACAGTTTGAAGTTCCTAGCTCAGTGCCTTGCATGTGATATAGAAAAGGTGCCGCGTTCACGAACACCTACACGTGCACAGACACGGATGGCAGTGTGGTCAATACCTCTTCCCACTGTGAGGCGGCAAATGAAATGGCCCGTGTGGAAGTGCTCCCTGCGCTCTCAGTGACCACACAAACATATACCAGGTCAGAATGGCACCTTTGACTTCATTCCGAGTCCACGCGTCAGCTAGTGTTTAGCTTTCCATTGTGGGAGACCCTGCGGGAACTTAAACAATGAAACCATGGCATTTAGTCATAACAGAAACATACTTTGTCTTTGAATCCCAAACCAAAGGTATACATCCCACATTTGGCCCTTTTGGATATTTTTATTAAAGATAGACTTCATCCTACCTTTCAGCAGTTTTCAAATTTCTTCATCCTGTGACTTTCATTCATTTTCTTAGGGTCCAAATCGCTAACCCATGCCCCTCCCCTTCAGTTGCCTCCTAGGTCTTACAGGTGCTTATATTCCCCACTGCTAATAGTGTCTAAGGACCCTGCGTGGCACAAATGGTTAAGCGCTTGGCTACTAACCTAAAGGTTGGCAGTTCAAACCCACCCAGTGGTGCCACAAAAGAAAGGCCTGGCGATCTGTTTCTGTAAAGATTATTGTTGTGTGCTGTTGATTCGGACTCATAATGACCCTATAGGAGACAGTAGAGCTGCCCCCATGGGGTTTCCTAGGCTGTAATCTTTACGAGAGCAGATCGCCGGGTCTTTTCTCCTGAAGAGTGGCTGATGGGTTCCAACCGCCAACTTTAGGTTAGCAGGTGAGCACTAAACCACTGCACCATCAAGGGCTCCTTCTGTAAAGATTATAGCCAAGAAAACCCCACAGAGCAGCTCTACTCTGTAACACATTGGGGTTGCCATGAGTCGGAATCAAGCTGCTGGTAACGGGTTTAATTGCGTCCAGTTTGCAGTAGGGCTGTGATTCAGAATGCCACACTCCATGCTAATGCATCCAAGATGTACATTTAGGAAACGTGGTGAACACCTCCCTGCTGCCCGCGTGAGGCTGTTGAGATATAGATATCCTTATGATTGCTTCTCCATTGTTCTTGGCAGTGGAAAGAATGTAGGCCTTGCAGGAAGGCAGAGGATAGAATTCTGGCCCTGCCGCTTCTAGCTGTTTCATCTTGGGCTAATTTTTCTTAACCTTTCTGTGCCCATTTCCACAACTGTGAAGCTGAGTTTTCCTACAATGCAGGGTTTTTAAGAGGATTAAATGAGAAGGTACATAGAAAAACATTTAGTCTAGTTTTTCTAGCAGAGGCATGCACTACTTTGTGCACGTGGAGCCCTGGTGGCACAATGGTTAAGTGCTCAGCTGCTAACCAAAAGGTTGGTGGTTGGAACCTACCAGCCACTCTGTGAGAGAAAACACCTGGTGATCTGCTCCCGTAAAGATTTCAGCCTGGGAAACCTATGGGACAGTTCTACTCTGTCATATAGACTTCCTATGAGTCAGAATTGACTCAATGGCACACAACAACAATTTGTGTACAGTTTTGTTTCATTCCACTGTTTCACTGCTTCAAAAGCAGGTCCCTCCAGTAATCTCACTTAGAAAAGCAGTTCCCACCCCAGCGCAGTACCGAAAGGAAAGATTCCAAAGGAACTAAGATTGTGTAATCTCAGTGATTTTCAGATTTGAATTTTGGGGGGCATTTGTTCAAATGAAATTTCTCTTGAAACTCTAATGTAAGTAGAACACATAAAAGAAGTCATTTCATTAGCATTCCTTTATTTTATAAATGCACATTTATAATACCTATTAAAATGACATTCAGAACATCTACATGATTGAACGGACATCAGACACCTGGGGTTGGACATGCAAGTTGCAAACTTTTCAATCTCGGCATGCAATTCCACCTTCTGATTGCACAGAATCAGTAAAATTCTGATTCATGCAGAAATATCTAATATCTTAACGACTGCTCATGATTTTCATCATAAATATGAGACAATACACATCTAAAAACTATCTACGATACAACATTATCACATCTGACGTGCTACATTTGCGCCCGTCATCACACAAACTGACACCTCAACAAGATCTTCTGGTCAGTCCGTGTGCCTGAGCGGTGCCTGTGACCTCAGAGCACTGCATATATGTAGTGACACACCCTTTTGTACAACTGTGTAAGACAAAACAACTTCACAGATGTGAATTTAAATCTATAAATACCAGGGCAGAATTGCATTCTTCCTAGTCAATGACACATTTAGGAGACATTAAATAGGCACAGAAATGACAAAGTGTTTATACTGAGCACTGTGCAAAGATGAGTTACTCGGCAGCACAAGGCAGGGAGTTGGTTAAGGTCGACCACAGGCGTGTATGGACTGCTGTACCTTCATGCTCTCCTCACTCACTGTCAGATATCCCCTCCTGGCTTCCTAAGATTCAGGTGAAATTCCCTTCTAATCCTGCCTGGAGAAGGGCCTCCTCCTCATCCTCGGCTGCCTCTTCCTCCTTTATCAGAGTCAGTAACTGCAATAAACCAGGTGCTGGGCCGTCCTCTGGCAGGTCAAGCTTCCTACGAAGTGTTCTGTCATCTGCCCCAGCAAGGATTTGGTCTAGGCGGGCCTGATTCACAACTTCTTTCTCGATTGTTCCCCTCTCTACCAGTTTTTGTAATAAAGGCTCTAGCCTCAGGATATAAGCAGATAACTTTTCTTCAGCCTTCTGATAAGTGGTTAGAAATTTGACCTGCAACTCTCTAGGATTATCGATAACCCCAAATACCTGCTCGAGCGCCTGTAGGCATTCAGGGACCGTAATAAAAGGATTGTTTATCTTGAGGACACGAATGACATCAAATGCTGGGCCTTTAAGGCACTCTAGCAATCGCCTCCTTTTCTCGGCGTCTGACACCTGCCATGTCTTCATCATCTGAGTAGTATGAAACAGCCAGGAATCAAATCCTTCTTCTCCGGGTTCTGGAGGATCGCTGCCAGAGAATACTTTCAGCTTTCTGTATTTCAGGTATTGCAGGGCAGGCTGGAGAGCCTCATCTAATGCCTCTGCCAACATAGGGGCCCCCACCTGTGGGACTAAGTTCTGGTCTAGGTCAAAAGGGTCGTTTCCATACCCAAGAGCGCTGGTAAACTCAGCCACTGTCAGACCCTCTCCCTCTAAGAATTCATTTAATCTCTTTAAAAATTCATTATCTGGGTCAGGCGGCTTAAAGATCACTCGCCAGGCACCCCCTTTCCCCGGTATCTCCTTAGGGACCACAGCAAGACTAGTCTCCTCAGTGAGTCCTATGAGGGCTACAACCCTGTTCTCTTCCCTCCTAAACATCCTCCCAAGCAGTCGGTACTGGCCCAAGGACGCTAAGCCCGCCTGCAGAGCCTCCTGGATTTCCGCCTCGTTACAGGTCAGCGGGATGCCGGCAATCAACAGAGCTTTCCGAGGGTTCATGTCCATCCCCCTGCACCAGTCTTCTAAAAGCCTCAGCGTCATGGTGCCCGACAGACAAAGATTTAAATTCTAATTTGACCGGCGGGGCGCAGATGCCCACCGCGATTCACAGTAATCCTCCGCGGTCCCCCAGCTATGTCACGTCAACGTCCCGAGTTCCAGCAGCCTGTGAGGACAAAGCAGTCGAGTTAGTTAACGGGGGTCAATGTCCCAGGCCGCACAGCAGGACCCGAAAAGCCCCACGGATCCTCCACCCCAGGGCGACGCCGAGAGCGGCCGCCCGCGCCTCCGCGCTCTGCGGCAGCAGCCTTGTGACCGCGTCTCCCGGCCTCGGGCGCCCCCAGCGGACGCCGGGGCCCGCTTCCCCTCACCGTTATCTAGCGGTCGATGCCTGCGTCCACCTGCCGGGGCTCGGGGTGCCCAGGGCCGGCTCCCGACGCGTCCAGGCCTGAGGAGCGGGACGGCGACCTCTCCTCGTCTCGGATGGAGACTCGACAGGGATAGCGAGGCTCTGAAGAAAGGCGGGCCAAGCGACGGCGAGTGATGCAGGGCCACCTAGTCTCTGCGATACTCTCCGCTGCGGGAGTGACCCGGCGATCAGAGCCGCGAACGAGACCCGCCAGGCCCAGACGGCCGCCCACCTGAAGGGACAGACCGTCACCGGCGACACCACAACCACGGTTCGCACCCCAACGAGATCTGTTCGGAAGCTGTCAGAACAGCGGCACCGCGGTCGAAGGCGCTCCGACGTCCGGAAGGGGCGGGCTTTTCGGGGCGGGGCGCGTGCACTTCCGGCCCGAGCCGGAAGCGCCAACTGCGGCGGCCTCCGGTACGGCGGGCGGGCGGGCCACCCGGGACAGGAAGGTGAGAGCTACGATCTGCTCAGCTTTGCTTGCTCTGCCAGTGGCCACTGCTTGGCGCGGAGCTCCGGGCGCTGCGGGGCGGCGAGGCCGGGGGCAGGCGCCGCCTGCGCAGCGTTGGTCGCGGCCGGCTGGCGCTGCAGTACGGCAGGGGGCGGGGCCAGCTGCTGGGGAGGCCCTGGTGGCTCCGGCGCCTACCGGCTGGGCCGGGTGATACAGAGCGGGACTCTGGCTGCGGTGACGGGGGCCGGGCCACCGCGTGACCGGCCCCAGTCACGCTGGACTTCATCACAATTAGCTTGTTCTCCAGGCTGGCCGAGCTCACCTCTCTCCGAGCCGGGTGACCCATGGGATTTCTTTTATGGTGTCTTTCCCTGAAATGCCAAAGCCACCTGATTATTCAGAACTGAGTGACTCTTTAACGCTTGCCGTGGGAACAGGAAGATTTTCAGGACCATTGTAAGTGTTTTAAGAGTGACTTTTAAATTGGGGCCTCCGGCATTGGTTTGACTTGTAAAACCAAGTTTACACGTCTAAAGGAATACTTTTAAGTCAGAAAGTATTGAATTGTTAAGAGTGAAATGTTCCGTAGGGAATTTAACTCCAGCTTCTTAAGGACCTGTATTGAACTTGCTTAAGCACAGTGTAGTGATTTATTCTGTGGCATTCACATAAAAAGCAGAACTCTATACAGAAACCAATGTTTGTTTTTTCTCGTGACTATTACGTAAAATAACCTGTAAGTTGTTTACATTTTTCAATAAATGTAAATCTTATTTACTTATTTTAAACCTTGAATGTGTTAGTCCTGTATTTTAAAACTCACTGGGGGGAGAAAGCTCATTGGAAATAAAGCCAGTACATTTGCAACAGTTGCTATGACAGCATTACTAGGCCCAGCGGAACCCTGGTGGCCTAGTGGTTAAGAGCTTGGCTGCTAACCAAAAGGTCGGCCGTTCAAATCCACCAGCCGCTCCTTGGAAACCCTATGGGCAGTTCTACTCTGTCCTGCAGGGTCACTACGAGTTGAATCAACAGCAACAGGTTTGTTTTTTTGGTTTTAACATTTTTTTTTTAATTTCAAGGCACAGAGCATGGAGAATGATGAACTTCCGTCAGCGGATGGGATGGATTGGAGTGGGATTGTATCTGTTAGCAAGTGCGGCAGCATTTTACTATGTTTTTGAAATCAGTGAGACTTACAACAGACTGGCCTTGGAACACATTCAACAGCACCCTGAGGAGCCACTTGAAGGAACCACATGGACACACTCCTTGAAAGTTCGGTTACTCTCCCTGCCTTTTTGGTTGTGGACAATTATTTTTCTGATACCTTACTTACAGATGTTTTTGTTCCTTTATTCTTGTACCAGAGCTGACCCCAAAACAGTGGGCTACTGTATCATCCCGATATGCCTCGCAGTTATTTGCAATCGCCACCAGGCATTTGTCAAGGCTTCTAATCAGATCAGCAGACTACAGTTGATTGACACATAAAACCAGTCACCGTTTTTTCCCTGCTGATTGCAGAACTGCCAGTACCATCTGGAGTCTGATCACAAGACTGCAGTTCCTTCACAGTTCTCAGGAAGTTGTGGTGGGGCAGGGGGTTTTTAAAAAGTGCGATTGGGGGCTGTCTTCATCTGAATTATACTGAATTTTTAGGTAAAGCCTGAGATACAAAATCATGTTGATGATGTCAGATTTTGGAAGTAATATCGTGTGTGTTATTTTAATTCTTTAGAAACTTGAATAAGCACCTGAACTCATATTTTTATTCTACTGTGCAACATAGTGATGATTCAGTATTTTTCCTTTGGGGAAAAAAATGAATGACTATGAACATTTTCCATTGCGTTAAATGTAAAAAGGTCCAAACATGGTCATAAAATTTAAATTTTATACAATTAACTTGGCTTGCTTTAAAATTCTTCAAACTAAAACACCAATTCATCCTGTTGTAACTGAGCCAGCTATTTACGCTTGCTTTCTATCAGCTTATGAGGAATTTGTGTAAGATTACTTTACTGATTGTTATCTTGATAAGCAGAATTTGTACTTCTTGGCAATGGCTAGCTACATCATTATTAATAGTCTGTTTTTTAAAAAATAGACTAAGATAAATGTTTGAAAGTCTAGAAATAACTTACATGTAGAAGATGAGACAAAGTTTTTTCAATGAAAACATCAAGAGGAAATTTAGTCCAGTCTCTATCAGATGCTATGTTGTTAGGTGCCGTCCAGTCGATTTCAGCTCATAGTGACACCATGTGACAGAACAGAACTACCCCACAGGGTTTGGGCATAGGGACTGGGGAGAGGGATTTCTCGGCTGTGGTCTTTACGGGAGCAGATCTCTTAAGTCTTTCTCCTGAGGAACTGCTGGGTGGGTTCGAAGGCAACCTTTCAGTTAGCTGAACTCTTAACCATTGTGCCACCAGGGCTCCTTCCGATGCTTGATACCCCTCTAAAAGATACTATCAAGTCATTGACCCTTGTGTTTCTTTTTTTCCCCTGGCCCAAGGTCAGGTTGAGTTGTTGAATTGCCAATATAGTTTAGAAAGAAGAAAGTCTTCAGGCAGTAGGTCAGTTGCAGGAAGATATGATGTTGGTACCTCATTCTTTGCATTTGTACCCCCTGTTGTCTGGTACCAATACAGATAACTAAAAATGGAAGTTTAGATTTTAGGAGTTTTTTTTTCTGGATGAGATCAAGATGTATTTTTATATAGTTATGTCATTAATACAGGGAAGATTTATGCTGATAGATTTTAATAATTATAAGTACTTTTTTTTTTTTTTTGGTGCTTACTCTGTTAGGCCTTGTTCTGAGAGCTTTACGTGAATTAACTCAATCCTCACAGCAGCCGTTTGGTTGTTAGGTGCTGTCAAGTCCAGTCGGTCCTGACATAGCGACCCTGTGTACAACAGAAGGAAATGCTGCCTGGCCCTGCACCACCCTCAGTTGCTGCTGCGTTTGAGCCCATTGTTGTGTCAGTCTCCTTTAGGGTCTTCCTTTTTTGCAGCCACCCCTCCACTTTACCAAGCAGGATGTCCTCGGAGATGGCCATTGTTATCTAGATTTTACAGACAAGGAAACTGAGGCAGAGAAGCTCAGTAACTTGCTCAAGGTCACACAGTAAGCAGCAGAACCAGAGTTAATAACCAGGCATTCTGATGCCTTTGTTCTTAACTATTGAGCCATAGTGCTGCTCACAAATGACAAATTTTCAGTACTGGGTACTGTCTGCCCATCCATGCAAAAGAAGAATTCTTTCTCAATTTATATATGAGCTACTGAAAGTCTGAAAATTTTCTAGCAACTTCAACCTTAAGACTGCATCTGATTTGACCAGGATGGAAGGCTGAACATCCCGGGGGTTAAGGTTTTTTTTACTTGAAAGATAAAGCAGATACCTTTGTAACTCAAAAGCAGCACAAACAGATCCTTCTTCAGTTAATCGCATCTATCTCCCTTAGTACATCCAAAGGTCTATTTACTGAAATGATCTTTTGATCCAATATATTGGATTTTCAAGCACACAGCAGTTGGAAATACCTGTGTGAGGGTTGGATAATCACTTATGTCTTTTGAGTACTTTCTCATAGTTTGCAGTATACAAGTGATGTTTTCTTTAAATTTACATTGACTCTTTACAACAATCAGATGAGGCAGGTTATTATACTCTTAACTAGCTCCATTTTACAGAAGGTGTAATGAGGAAACCTGAAGCACATAGGAATTCATAGCTTGCCCGTGGTCACATAATAAGTAGAAGAGCCAAAATTTGAACCCAGGATGTTTAGCTTTAGGAGCCCCAGCTCTTTATCATTCCCTCTATTGCTTCTCAAAAAGGAGGAGGAAAGGAGGCGGTAAAAGATGGCAGAGTAGTCAGATGCTTCATAATGTCCCTCTTAAAGACCTGAAAAAACAAGTGAATTGGATATAGATGACAGCTTAGGAACCCTAAGTGTATTAATTGTTTAATGAGAAACTAATTTGCTCTGTAAACTTTCACCTAAAGAAAAAAAAAAAAAAAAAAGCCCAACAAAAAAAGCCCTAGCCCCGACGGCTTCAGTGGAGAATTCTACAAAACTTTCAAAGAAAAGCTCACACCAGTACTACTCAAACTATTTCAAACCACAGAAAAGGAAGGAATACACTTCTTCATTCTATGAAGTCAGCATAACCCTGATACAAAAACCAGGCAAGGACACCACAAAAACAGAAAACTACAGACCAATATCCCTCATGAATATGGATACACAAATGCTCAGTAAAATTCTAGCCAATAGAATTCAACGGCATATAAATAATACATCAAGACCAAGTGGCATTCATACAAGGTATGCAAGGATGGTTCAACGTTAGAAAATCCACCCCATAAATAAAAGTATCACATCATCTCGATGCAGAAAAGGCATTTGATAAAGCCCAATATCCATTCCTGATTAAAAAAACTCTCAGGAGGGAAATTCCTCAACATAATAAAGGGCATTTCTACAAAACCGTTTGTAAAAATGCCTTTTATTATGGCATTTATACAACAACCAACGCTTTTCTCAATGGAGGGAGACCAAAAGCATTCCCCTTGAGAACGGGAACCAGACACAGATGCCCTTTATCACCACTCTTATTCAACAATGTCCTGGCAGTCCTAGCCAGAGCTGTAAGGCAAGAAAAAGAAATAAAGGGCATCCAAGTTGGTAAGGAAGAAGTAAAACTATCCCCATTCACAGATGATACGATCCTGTATATAGAAAACCCCAAAGATTCCACAAGAACGCTACTGGAATTAATAGAAGGATTCAGCAAAGTAACAGACACAAGGCCAACATACAATAACCAGTTGGATTCCTCTACACCAACAAAGAGAACTCTGAAAACGAAATCAAGAAAACAATACCATTTATAATAGCTCCCCAAAAGATAAAAGACTTAGGAATAAATCTAACCAGAGACATAAAAGACCTATACAAAGAAACTACAAAACACTACTGCAAGAAACCAAGGAGACCTACATAAATGGAAAAACATATCATGCTCATGGATAGCAAGATTTAACTGTGAAAATGTCAATACTACCAAAGCAATCTACAGATATATTACAATCCTGATTTAAATTTCAACAGCATTCGTTAATGAGATGGAAAAACTAATGAGTAGTTTTATATGGAAAGGAAAGAGGCCCTGGATAAGTAAAGCATTATTGAAGAAGAAGAACAAACTAAGAGGCCTCATTCTACTTGATCTTAGCCACAGTAGTGAAAACAGCCTGGTACTGGTACAGTGACAGACACATAGACCAAGGGAACAGAAGTGAGAATCTACACGTAAATCCACCCACCTACAGACAGTTGATCTCTGACAACGGGCCAAAGTCCATTAAATGGGGGAAAAGACAGTCTCTTCAACAAATGATGCTGGAAAAACTGGATGTCCATCTGTAAAAAAAACGAAGCAGGACCCATACCTCACACCACACACAAAAACTAACTCAAAATGGATCAAAGACCTAAATATAAAACCTAAAGCTATAAAGATCATGAAGAAAAAATAGGGGCAATGCTACGGGCCCTAATATATGGCATAAATAGAATACCAAACATAACTAAGAATGCAGAAAAAGCAGAAGATGAACTAGATAAGTGGGACCCCATAACAATTAAACACTTAACGCTTATCAAAAGACTTCTCCAAAAGAGTAAAAAGAGAACCTACAGACTGGGAGAAAAATTTTGGCTAAGACACATCCAACAAGGGTTTAATCTCTAAAATCTATAGAGAATTTTAACACCTCAACAACAACAAAAAAATCCAATTAAAAAATGGGCAAAGGATATGAACAGACACTTCACCAGAAAAGACATTCAGATGGCTAACACATGAAGAAATGCTCATGATCATTAGCCATTAGAGATGCAAATCAAAACTACAATGAGATGCAGTCTCATCCTGACATTACTGGCACTAATCAAAAAAACAGAAAATAACAAATATTGAAGAGGTTGTGGAGATACTGGTACTCTTATACACTACTGGTGGGAATGTAAAATGGTATAACCACTGTGGAAAATGATACGGTGCTTCCTTAGAAAGCTAGAAATGGAAATACCGTATGACCCAGCAATCCCACTCCTAGGTATATACCCTAAAGAAATAAGAACCATGACATGAATAAACATATGCACACTCATGTTCACTGCAGCATTATTCACAATAGCAAAAAGAAGGAAACAACCTAAGTGCCCATCAACAGATGAATGGATTAATAAACTGTGTTACATACACACAATGGAATACCATGCAATGATAAAGAATAATGATGAATCTGTGAAATATCTCACAACATGGATGAATCTGGAGGACATTATGCTGAGTGAAATAAGTCAATCACAAAAGGGCAAATATTGTATGAGACCACTATTATAAAGAAACAAGAAAAGTTTTACACATGGAAAAAAAAATTGTTGATGATTATCAGGGATGGGAGGGGAAGGAAGGGAAAATTACCAAATAGAAGACACATGTTAATACTGGTGAAGGGAAAGGCAATACACAATATGGGGAAGTCAGCAAAACATGACCAAAGCATGGGAGGACACTGAGAGGAATGCAAGAACAAAGGGCAACAGAAATTACTATAGCATACACAATCCTGCAACAATAGTATTAACAAACACTAATTTACAAATGGATACATAGGCAGATAGATATGCCAAGAGGTATGGGAGGGTATAAGGGAACATACCCACCTGCAGATATAGGTTTGGTGGGAATATTTCTGTATGTACAGCTGTAGGTGCTGCTTATATATTGATACAGACAATAGAGCATACAAGGGCCACAGTCAGGGCAACTTCTTAGACATAACCAAACACCTTGCAGGATGAAGTGTTTAGGCTTGAAG